TGCAGTTGTTCAAAATGTCCAAGTTTTTCCCAGAGAATAATTTATGCACTGAAGGTCTGTTTTATTTGAGAAATGCCTACATAATAATAATAAAAAAAGTGAAGTACAAATTAAAAAGAGGTAGATCTGGCAGTTCATAACTAAAGTAGTTTTTTCATTTATATGTATTATTTATATATCCCTGAGCACCCCATTTAAAATTTTAATACTCCCATCCCTCCACCCCAGAACTTGCTATCATTCTTTTTGCTCTATTTTTCTCCATAGTGCTTATCCAAATACACTCTGTATTTTACTTACAGATTTTGTTTTCTTCCGACTTCCCTTACTAGAATGTAAGCTCTAGGCAGACAAAAAATTTTCAGCAGCACCCCCTCCCTGGATAGTACCAGGCATATGTAAACATTCAACAATATTTAATAAATGAATGCAGGAATAAATCTATCTTGATCAGATTTACTAAGGGATTGCCATTTTTCCTTTTGAGTAGTGTAGGATTGTTTTCTAGAAGGAAATGCCATGTGATAGTTGAGGGTGGTTTCTGGAGTCATTGTGCATCAAATCTTGATTTTAATACTGGTTGTCTGTTTAACCTTGGGCAAGTTACTTAACATTTCTGTGCCTTAGTTTTCTGTCCCCAGAATAAGACAAATAAATTACCTATCTCGTGGTTAGATAACTTGTATAAAGTGCTTAAAAAAAACACTGTGGTACACAATCAGTCCTCAAAACTCACTAGTATTATCATTAAGCCAATCTGTGAAAAGAATAATATCCTTTATGGCACTCATTGCCTAAGTGAAATAGTCGTGACAATTATGTAGATATTAAAAATATTTTACCTTAATCATCAGAATTGTTTAGTTCAAGGCATATGTTAAGCATACATTATTACTATAATTTACTTTCTGAAAATTATCAGAACATTAATTTTATTTATTTGACAAACTCCAGTTAAGTCAAATAGAGCAGTGTAATAATTCCAAAGGTCAAGCTTGGTTTTGAATTCTACTCTGTCATTTACTAGATCTGTGACCCTGAGCAAGTCAATGAAAAACTTTAGGCTTCAGTTTCCACATCTGTAACATGAGTGAAAAATAGATCTATGTTAGTAATTGAATATTAAATACAGCACAGTGCTTGGCACAGAGCAGATCTCAGTAAGAGGGAGGTCAAAAAAAGACATTGAATATGCAAAATTAGAGAACAGTGTTTATGACAGAACCATATCAATTTACATAAAGTTGAGTGAGAATTGAAAATTAAATTACATTTTTCTGACTCATGTTCAATCTTAAGCAAATAAATCAGAATTTATATTTTAGAAGAAGTTATCATTTTAAAAAGAAAATTTAGCATGAGAAACATGGACATATTTGACAGCAAATCATTTGGCCCTTGATTTCCTTTGTATTGCCACGTATAAAATACAGAGCCTTTTAGTACCAGTTTAAGAAATGTGAGTGTCTCTTTTGAAAATTAACACTTCTAAATTCCTTAAAATTCAGTGTTGTACATGTAAGTCTCCTCTCCCTCCTTTATCCCCATCAATTTAAATTTATGAAGATACTAAGCTAAGAAACACATGCAAAAACCTTGTGTACACTAATCTCCAAGATCTTTGTTATCTAAGAACTTGTTATTAATGTTTTGGATTATTGGCTGTGTTAGGCAGTCCTGCACACCACTGTTAGCACCGAAGTCAGGGCATTGGTTGCTGCACTTAGTTATGGTAGAGAAGATGGGAAATGCCTTTGCTCAAGCAGAGTTTGCTGGAGCCACGATGGGACAGCAAGCACCACATGTCACACCAGAGTGGACGATGGAAATCAGGTTCTACTTTGTGATGTGAAGCTCAACTAGGCCTTTTTTAGCCAGACCAGGACTGGAGTACACTGGAGTCTAGAATTATAGCTGCCTAGGAGCTAGGGACCCTGAGCAAACAGGACTTTATACATTAGTGAATGTAAAGAGTCTCAAAATAGTCCCAAATCCCAGGAAATCCCATTTCAGAAAAGAACTTTAGGAGCTGTGGCAAGATAGCATTTCTAAGCTTGCCTCTGTGAATTGATGTTCAGGGTCTCTGTGTGCAGGGGACATCATGAGATGGGATTGAGGGTGGGAAGTTTACATGTTAATAGTTCATCATTTTGTTTTAACTTGCAGGTGGACTATAAAGAGCCTCCCAAAGTCTTGAAAAATGTCATAGGGATCAAAATGTGGATACCTACACAAGAGATGTGGATGTCCTTTGAAAATCTCCTGCTTAATGTATCTTAATATTAACACACAGATCAGTACAAATGCCATTATAAATATAATAATGTCATCCAACTGCTGAGAGCTATTAGTAGCCCATGGGACACCTTTGTGTCAAGCAATCTAGCTCCAGAGCATGTGGCTTCGCCAAAGAAACACAGGCCGTCACTATCCCTTTTTATTGGAGGTACTTGTGAAAATTTCACTTACATATCAATATGTGGTGACACTGAAACTGATATTTCAGTGCCTTCTGTATGTCCACACTATGCTATGTTCTTTTTTCCCCTTTTTTTTTTAATTTTAATTTTTTTATTATATTCAATTAGCCAGCATATAGTAGATCATTAGTTTTTGATGTAATGTTCAATGATTCATTGGTTGCATATAACACCCAGTGCTCATCACCACACGTGTCCTCCTTAATACCCATCACCTGGTTACCCCATTCCCTCAACCCCTTCCTTCTGTAACCCTCAGTTTGGTTCCTGGAGTCCAGAGTCTCTCATGGTTTTTCTCCCTCTCCGATTTCTTCCCATTCAGTTTTCCCTCCCTTCCCTGTGGTCCTCCATGCTATTCCTTATGTTCCACATATGCATGAAATCATATGATAATTGTCTTTCTCTGCTTGACTTATTTCACTTAGCATAATCCCCTCCAATTCCATCCATGTTGATGTAAAAGTTGGGTATTCATCCTTTCTGATGGCTGAGTAATATTCCATTGTATACATGAACCGCATCTTCTTTATCCATTCATCTGTTGAATGGCATCTCAGCTCCTTCCACAGTTTGGCTACTGTGGAGATTGCTGTTATGAGCATTGGGGTGTGGGTGCTATGTTCTTTATGCACTTATAGTTTCTAGTCTTGTGATCATCATCCTGATTTTCAAATGTCAAATCTAGAGAATGACTGGGGGAGGGTTGAATCCATATCTGGTGATATAAAAATCAATGTATATTCTGTTGAAACAAACTTCCCTCTACCTCTATCTTCTTTTCATCAAAAAATATTTATGAAGGGTTTATTTTTCTCCTGTGAAAGAATATAAAAGCTAGAAAATGTTTCAGACTAAAAATCACTCATCAATGAAAATTCCTGACTCTGTGAATCCCAAGGAGTGGAAAACATTTCTAGATTTCTAGATTAGAAGACAACAGTGTGAGTCTAGAGTTTCCAATGCCTTGTGGGAATCAGTGGGAGCCATCATGAGAAAGGCATGGCAGGGTGTGTACTAAGTTTGTGTGGGATGTGATGTACTTCTCGAAACAAGCTGCTCTCTTTCCTACCAGTATTCCAAAAACTCCAATAGAGCAAGGTTCTTGTCTATTTGAAGTGCCTTGAGGAGCTAGAGGATAATGCTGCAATATGGCCAAGAGAGCCCAGGGTCTGGGTCAGCCATTTGTGTGAACTTTTAGTTTACCAAATGTCCTAGGGAATCAGAAGTAATGAAACATGTAGGTGTTCTTCCAAAAGTCATGAGGTTGGTGCCTGAATAGCATGTTATAACGCTAAAGGAAGGAAGCTCCTGTTTAATTAAATTTTTCAGTCTATTTTTGAGAGTAAACTTATGCCTTCCTTTCCCACATCCTTATGAAAGTGACTTTGTTCACCATAAACTTGTTATACTAAAATGAAGTTTAAAAGCAAGATGTATTTCCTTCCTTTTGCTAAAGACTTGATTAATCATCTAAGGGCAGGTCTTTAAGGGCAGCTAATATACCATCCCCCCAAACCCCAAGCTTTTAAAATGCACTAAATTATTTGAGTAAACCATTTACAATTTTATTTTATTTTTGTTTTTTACACACAGACCAAAACCACCAACCCAAAGGATTTTTTTTTTCAATGCACAAACTGCTCTGAGAATAAGTTGGGTGCTTTTGGAAGATGTTTTAGCTTTATCTGGCCAAAAAAGGGCATCCAGGGGAAAAAATATTAAACACCACACTGACTGGTGTTTAATTATCAAAGCCAGTTTATATTTATTTGTTCAACACAAAATGACAATTTAAAAAAAATCACTTTCCATTACTTTGTCCTAAGAATTCAAGGTGTTCATTTATCTGTATCATTAGTCCTATTTGCCCACCAATGAAGAGTCATTGGTGGCATCATGATGTCAGTCCACACATAGTATTTTTCTATTCTTCCTTTTGCTTTATATCTGTGTTTCCTAAAAAAACAAATGATACACAAACCACTGATTTTGAGAAGTAGCAATAGTCTAGAATTCCTTTGTTGAGGGGAAAATTTTCCTGACATTATTTAATTATTAATAGTATAGAGAATTCTTTGAGAATCAAGTATCGAGATGTTAAGTCCCTCTTAATTTACTTATATTGGTATTTTAAAGTGTAAAGTTGTCTCTACATTGGTCAGTTTGTCTAGCTATGCTGTTCTAATCTGTTAAATATTTGGTTTGAATTCTTCTTATTTATAATACATTTTCTTTTGCAAACTTTATGACTTATATCTTAGTTCTTCCACTACAAAAGTCTGGATTTGTCACCCTTAGCAAACAGATGCCAAAGCATGGGAGTAATTTTCAAATATTGTAACCTAAATTTTTGCCTCATTGCTGATAATTATTTCTCAGAGTCCTTAGACTTTAAATGAGCTTTGCCTGCATGGATACAGCCTGCCAGCTTATCCAACAGTGAGTTCAGATCAGCCTCAGTCTTTCCAGCAAGAAGGAGTGAAGGCTGGTGATGGACACATGATAAGAATTCTTTTCTAGGTTTTGCAATGGAACAAATATGGTTGCTGTTGCTTCTAACAATTGGAGTGCTTCTGGGGTCTGCTCAGTTTAATGGCTACAACTGTGATGCCAACCTCCACAGTAGATTTCCTGGTAAGTATGAACCTAATCTTTTCTCTCATTGTATCTGCAAAGAGTGATTATGTTTGAATAGTAAGGCCCTTAAATACATATGGAAAATGGAGGGAGGGGATATCCATCTACATTAAGTGGATATTAACAAATGGCAAATGACAAAAGACATTTTTTCTGGAGTTGTAATTTATATCCACATTAACATACAAAGTGTTCATCATAGTTAATATTATTATAATGGCTGCTCACAAATGTGAAGAATATTGGTTATTGGGTAAGAATCGGGAGAGGCTAATTTCATCAAAATTTGCCTAATTGATGCCCTTTTTTTCCCTCATAAGTTAATTCAGACTTTCAAAACTGCCCCTATATGCTAATAGATTTAATGATTATGAAATATTGTGCATTACTCAAAAATATTATTTCAATGGCATGTTGGTCATTACCAAAGTACACAGGCCAACTTGTCTGTGCATGGCCCAGCAACCATCAATGTTGTGACTGATAGGAGATTTTGACCAGATTGATGGACAAGTCCTATAGGTTCCTACAATCTGCACTGAGTGAGAAGTAATTCAATATTAATTTAAGTATTCATCATTTTATATCAGCTAAAGTTATAGAATCACAGTTAAACATTTACAAAATAAAGATTAGACAGTCTGAAATCACTTTTCCAAGTTTGCCATGCAAATTGAATTACTTTCTGTCATGTTTTACATTTTTCAAACCTGCCAGTACTCCTGTGTTCAGAGCATGCCAGATTGACAACACACTTGCATAGAGTAATCACTAGGTAGTTATGTTGTTGATGTGGGATTTCTAACTCACCTGAAGAGACGTAATCTGGATTTCTCCAGAATAAAGATCCAAGTGTGTAGGAATGCATTCAGGAGCTTAGACCTGGTACACAAGTGCTTGACAGGTTAAGTATGACATGGGGTCAGGATGGGAATGTCTAAAGGTAAGTCTAGGAAGGTGTTCTAAGGCAGGGTTGTTAATGATTTTGAGTAACACAAAGGAGGGCTTTTAAAAAATATTTTTTGTTATGGAAAATTCAAATATATACAAAAGTAGAGATGACTAAAACAAGCATTTGGGGTGATCAAGCAGCTTCATCAATTATCAACACATGAATTTTGCTTCATCTGTCTCTTCTTACCACCCCCCCTCTCTGGAATAATTTAAAGTAAATTTATTATTCATGCTTCAGAATGTGTATCTGATGGAAAAGAACTTAAAATCTTTATACTTCATGTATATGTCTAATAAATTTAACAATAATTACTTAATATATCATCTAATACTCAGCTAAGTTGCCTCTAAAACAACCACATGGTACATTTGTTGACATGTGTCTTCAGTCTATTTTAATTTATAACAGTTTTCTGTCCCTTGCTTTTCTAAAATGTTCAGTAATGTGGTCATTTGTTTTGTGGAATTCTGCCTTTGGGTCTGGTTGATGCAGCTCTGATGTGTCATTTAACATGTTCCTCTTTTCCCGTACACCCTGTAAACTAATTAGAGCTAGAGGCTTGAGTAAATTCAGGTTCGGTTATTTTGCCAAGAAGACTTTGTGGGTTATTTGTGTGAAGTATTTTGTCTTTGTTTTGTAGGCAATGAAGAGTCATTGTGTCCTTTTAAACATATTCTTTTAAGGATCTGACCTGGTCACATTTTGTTTTAGAAAGCCAATATTGGGAAAAGTGAAAGAACAAGTTAGAAGAAACTAGAGACAGAAATGTCATGAAGGCCAGTGTCAGTGGGAGCAGAAGAAGGAGACAGCTCTTAAGAGATATTTTGGTGGTGAACTCAACAGAGCTTGAGAGCTGGTTCAGCTGGAGAGCTGAAAGAGAGGATGATGACCATGTTTTAGACGATGTTTTGAACTTGGATAACTGGATGGTGATATTGCCAACTGACACCAAAAGTATAGGGCACTTGCATGTTCTAGAAAGAAAGTTTGGGTTTGAAAATAGTGAGTTTGAGGAGCTTCTAGAATTTATAGTGGCAGCCTCTATTCAGTAGTAGAAAAAAATGGACCTGGGTCTGAGGAGAGAGGTTGAAACCAGATAGCTGTGTAGGAGCTGAGTCCCTGTGCAGTGAGTAAGTAATGAGTGGGGGACAGGAAAATAAAAGGTAGGAAAATAGACTACTATTTTAGATAACATAGGTGGTGATGGGAAGAGGAGTAACTGAGCCAACAATTTAAATAAGAAGAGAGGATTTGGGGATTAGAGAACTAGAGACCATTTATATACATGAGTAAAGGGAAAGTATTCAGAGATTGGGAATAGCAATAAAGAAATAATTGATGTGATGAGGAAAGAAAATATGGAAGAAAGCAAAGGTACAGGTGGAGGAGTTAACTTTGGAGGATTGGTAGCTGTTTCTCTGATTTAGGAGAGAAGGAGAAATAAAAGACATGGGCAGAGAAGTTGAGGGATGCTCATTGTGACATGGGAGGCAGAGGCAGAGGCCCTTAGGGGAGTGAGGGTCCAGAGGCCTGGCGGGGGCCAGGGAGGGTAGTCAAGCCTTCCCCTGTTATGTGCAGAAAAGTAAAATGTAAAAAGATGGCTCAGCAGAGAGGATCTACCTGATGTACTTATACTTGTAAAGGTAAATAAAACATGTGAATGAGCCAGGAAGTGGCTAGGACAAGGTAGGGAAGTATTTTTCATATGGGAAATTTAAAAATTATGTTAAAACACTCATTTATAATGGTGCCTGCTGACCACCTGCATCAAAATCACCTGGGAGAGTCGTTAAAAGTTATTTACCCCAAAACTGTTTACTCCACTGTTTTACCCCAAATATGTAGTGTCCAAATCTCTGATAGTGGTGCTGAGAATCTGTATTTTAAACCCTGCGGATGAGTCTAATGCACATTTATGGTTAGGAGCAACTGACATAATGTATACTATTATTTTCTTTAGTCCATTATTCCAATTAAAAGCACAGTCATGTGTTAGGGGAATAAAATTAAAAACAAAACCTTCTCGCAATCCAGAAATTCTCTCCACGAGGACAGTAGAGATGAAAACATTTATCACTGAGTAAACATTAAACCAGAATGTGAGGCTTATTATAAACAATCCATCAAGAGATTGCAATGACAGAAAGAAATCTTACTCTTTTATATAGCCAAGCAGATGCAACCCATTACATACGTTTTCAAGATAAACAATAACTAGTCCTCAAATAAGAGGACTTGACAGCACCATTTGTCACATAGAGTTCATTCTAAATATACCTGGTAATTGGGATGACCATCTGTGTAAGCATATTGGCTTTATCTAGAGGAAAAATAAACTCCCATCTTTACAAAAGGAAGTACTTTTGTAATCTGGAGATATGCTCCCTCCGAAGTTAGGCTCCCACCCTCCCACAGAAACTGTGACATAGGGGGGCTATTTTCCTTGATGTTTACATTTCCAAGAGATGGTTCCCTGATCATTGAGAAAAATTCCTGGGTCATAAAGCTGACAGCAGACTTATCTAGTCTTCAGAGGATTTATATACATTTCAAGGAGATGAGAAAGTACTTAGAATTACAAGTTTTCTGATGTAAATTATTTAAGAAAAGGGAGGAAGAAGTTTCTTCCTTTATTTTAAACAGGGAGAAGTAAACATCTTATTTTAATTTGTATTGGTCCTTATACATGTTAACACTTTTAGTATTGTCAAGCTTAGACAACAAATATCCAGACTTTCCAAATGTACACGCACGTGCACGCCCACATAGTATGCATGCACACGCATATTTTTGCAATGGAAAATCTATATTAAAAAAAAAAAATCTAAGATCCAGATAGCTCAGAAGTCCCAGGAGAGGCTTTAAGTTTATATGGGTATTATTTTCAAGTAAGCCCATTTTTGCAGGTCGTTTGCAGAAGAAGACCAGAGTGAGCAAATAAAGCATGAAAGGTTAATTGCTCACTTCCCTCTTGACTTGTGGCTTCTCTTCCACATCAGGATCACCCTTGATGTCATCAGGAGCTCCACAAGCTGCTCAGATACTAAGCAATGGGATAGAATGAGAATGAGTCTGGCAAAGGAGAGGGGCTATCTAAATGCAAAGTAATGTTAATAATGATGAAAGTAATCATCTCACCCTATCTGACCTTTGCTGTTTCGTGACATTAGAACTATTTTCTTTAATTTCCATGGCATTTATCTTTGGGCCAAGGGAACTGCCATGGTTTAATTCATTTTAAATTTAAAGGGACACCCTTTAATTTTAAAGGTAGTTAACTCTTGGCTATCCAAGCTGATAGCAGGGGACAGACTTATAACCCACTGACATTATGGTAGTGCTCTTCCCAGAATAAAATTCAAACCACAGTTGGCTTAGAGTACCACAGAATTATTTGGCCTAAATTAAATATATGGATAAATGCATTTGGCCTCTGTGACTGACATATACCTTTCTTTTTTTTTTTTAAGATTTTATTTATTTGCGAGAGAGAGAATGAGAGACAGAGAGCATGAGAGGGTCAGAGGGAGAAGCAGACTCCCTGCTGAGCAGGGAGCCCGATGCAGGACTCGATCCTGGGACTCCAGGATCATGACCTGAGCCGAAGGCAGTCGCTTAACCAACTGAGCCACCCAGGCGCCCTGTGACTGACATATACCTTTCTGAAACAACCACCGACCCCCCCCCCCCCCTTTTGGGAAGATGGTAGCATATAAGGGTTAGCCTCTAAGAAGTCTTTAATGATAAAGGCACAATCAAGGAAAGATTAGGCTTATGGAACCAGAAACTCTGTGGCTCGACGCTGTCTTATAATGAACTAACCACTCGTGGGAAACTGAATATAAGTCAGTGCTACACAACTTGTCATTTTGTATTCTATTTAAAATAACACTAATAAGGAAGAAAACAATGGGTTCCATGTATTGAGTGATAGGCACATTACTCATTCTTTCTTGTATTCCTTATGACAAACCTATAAGCTCTTTTAACATCATTTTACAATGGGGAAATTGAGGATTAGCATCTGTTTAATGTTGCAAAG